TTTTTTTTTTTTCCTGCATCCTAATTCAAAGGATCAGCTGGTCTCTCAACAAAATTGATAAACTTCTCCCGACAGCAGTCAGGGTAAGGTGGACCCTCTTACCTCGACGGAAACAAATTGGATTCATGATGACAACTAGTTATTTGCGGTTTGGCTGGGGAATTCTGGATTGTCTACAAATTTGTGTGGATGTGTCGAAGCTTGACAGCACTCAGACTGAATTATGTGGAGCTGCAGCAGGGAGCTGGAGCAGTTGTTATCAGGACTGTGGATTCTCTAGCAGCACAGATGAAAGTGGGAATAATCTTGGAGAAGCTGTGAGCTCAACTTTTGGCGTAAAGGATCAATTTGGCTGTTTTGGAATTTCCATCAGAGGAATGTATACCAGCGAGAATTTAAAGGCAGAAACAGCAATTCACGAGTTCTGCCTGACCTAAACTGTAGCCTTGACGCCGGACTTATCTCAACTCCTCCTGGCATGTTTTGGAAACAGCAAAGATGCTTTGTCTGTTTCCTCACCACTCCCTTCCCCAAGGCCGTGGACATGTAACAGAGCCTCAACTGGGCTGAAGATGAACGTCACCTCTTAACTGGACAATGGCTGGGGGGGACGCTCTGGACTATGCTACGACTTTCCCTTAAAAATTCAATGTCTTCACCGGCCTATATGTACATGTGTAACGTATATTTATGTTGCTTTGCTGTGGTAGGTTTTTTTTGATGATTCAAACCGTGCCCTGTCTAGGACATGATCTAAATATTAGATCTTTTTTTAATATCGTCTCTCCTCAAGTTTTCTTCCCTTTTCTCATCCAAGCAAAATATTATTCTGAATAAGAATAAGAGGGCCGCGCTTTTTATAGTTGCAGCTTCGTGCACTCCGCCCATCTTTCGAACAACTGTACATACATGTTCTCGTTGTATCTCGGTGCAATGATAATAAAGCTTATTCTGATTCTGATATTTATATACAGTATATATATATATATATATATATATATATATATATATAT